TTCCGCAAAACCTTTAATTGAAGGAAGATGACGGCATTATGACTGTCAGGACGAATCACCGAGTCCTTGTTCTGTCTTTTTATGTCGTTTTAATACACCTGATTTTAACATGCGTGGACGTTGACGCTATAATTGTAAATATGTATCACATATTTCTAATTTCTGTCAAAAAACGTTACAGTTCTTCTAGTGAAGTATTTCTTAATCAAGCTTCTTTTACTTTGATATCACAAATGGGGAGCGTGAATCACAGAGATAGCGAGGATTAAAACACTGAAGAACACGCGACGCATTTGAGTTGTACAAATATAAATGCTAGTAAGAACTTGAAAAGTCAATGTGTGTCGTCGTGCACTTCTCTAGAGGTCATCCAACTAGGATTAGTTTCACATCTTCGTTCACTTTTCTTTTAATTCTCTGAATATCTGAATAAGTTTTTTTGCAATGAACTTTGACATAATTTTATATTGATTTGAAATATTTGCATTTTGATTGCTTTATTGCGTGAATCCTTGTCATCGCAGCATTATGTCATCACCACTATCATTATCAATTATCATCATAATAGTGAAGTCACTACAGTCCATCATCATCTCACTCACAGATGATATATGTATTATCAGTTAAAAACCTCATGAGGTTAAAAACTCATAAAGGAAGTATTAGTCCAAATTTGCAGACTAGTTTTTATTGAGTTTATCAAGCGTCGGTTGACTTTGAGATGTGGTTTTAGTTAAGTGTCTTATAACACGAGAAGGCGTATAACATGGGCGCTATGTAATTTACAGGATAAGCCTGGATTAAGACTAAGCAGATTATCTTTGTCCACTTTGACTGACTTGATGGTGCATCAGGTTCACTAAGATTCAAAAAAACATGATGTCGATTGGTCAAATAATGAAAATCCATTTAGTAATATTAGAAATTGCCAATACTATCATTTCTTGCAAGCCGTGAATAAACTATAATCGTCAAGCACTTTGACAACAATCATTTAAAATGTCCGAGATAAGAGGGAAAACAGGCGGTTYATCATGTAAACAAACTACTTCTGCAGTTTTCAGTTAAGGAATATCAATTGTCATGTCGCATCGATTTTCGTATAAGAACATGGGCCTCCTGTGTTAAACTCGGCGTAGAGTATTCTCGTTAGCACAGGAAACCCATAAACATTTCTAATAAGATCTATTGATTTTTTTATCTGTTCCCTTTCTTTAAGTACAATGTTTGCAAAAAAAATGATATTACAAAGAGAATCACGTAATTATTCATGCAAGTTTCAAGAGGTTCTTGAAAGTCTATTCCAGGGAAAGACAGCGGCTATATTGTACCTGATTCAGTTACTTGAAAAAAACCTCTCAGCTTCTAACCCCAGATTTGAGTGATTTCTCCCCCTAGAAGATAACATTTCGTACTACAGCAAGGTGAAAAACAGTCTTGTTAACATGGTGAGCACAAAGTGCTATAAGCTTATATCACATATTAAGGGGGCTGGAGGGCCTAATTATAGTGCACTTTAGACACCATCAACAGCTTGTTTTCTAATTTATTTCAGTTTTCTGGACCATTCAGTGAGGTTTTTTTTAACATTTAACACCATCCAATGAATGTCTCTTGTCCACCTTCTCATGACAACTGAGAAAACATGGAAAACACTAGGAAGTAAATGCTGATAAAAGTCCGCGTACGATCTAGGGCTAGTATGCTGTAAGTTCATACTATCGAATTCTCAGTCGTTTGATTAGCCATCCCGTGATCTTCAATATCTTAATTTCACCTCGCAGTTACAAAGGATCGGGGTAAGTTTGCTACTTTTGTTTGAAGGTTGATTTATCAAATTTTAAATTTAACTTTTCCAACATTTTATAACCATTTATGCAATATTTACTAGACATTCATTTACTGTATATCTGATCAACTGTTTTTTTGATTTACAATGATGATGGCTTTTATTTATAAGTGAAAAGATGTCGGTAGCCGCCATTTCTAGCAGCATGAATTCAAGTTAGTCGGAAAGAATAACATGGTGTTTCAGAATACAAAAGAAGTTTTTAGATCCCTTCAAAACTTCCGGCTGAGTCGAGTTGGTTCACAGAGGGGTGTGAGGGTATTTACACGAACAAACAATGCCATATGAATTTTATTTCTTGAAGTTTTACATAATCAGCTCATTGAAATGTCAACTTCTTTATGTCTGGAATGTTATATATAGTCAGAGTTAGTAGATGAAATGGTTTAAAAACGTTTACTATTGCAGAATATGATAAATATGTGTGGTTGATCAGTATGTCTTTTTTAGCCTCAAAATTGCAGACTATCATATCAACATTGTTGGATAATTCACAGTTTCATGCGCGACATTTAAATCAGAATCAGGATCAAGGAAATTTGATAACTGAAGTGAAGACTGGGGGACGAAAATCACATGTTTTCTGCATGTGATCAAGTGAATGTTTTGAGGCAAACACACATGAATTCACAACATTRGGCTATTAATAGCGGATTTGAATTGAAACAATAATAAATGCATTGCGGCACCGGTAATACTAGGAACAAACAATTGAGGAAAATTGACCAAAACATTATGCTTGTTATCAATGAAWATCTGCCATCATATCACAACTAGTCATTTCTGTAAATGTTAATCACGTTTTAAATGATCTTGTATTGGAAATTGTGAAGTCAATGGAAAAGATATTTTTACAACTATATTTATAACATTGTCGCTTTATTTGATAAACCAAGTTAACACTTTCAATGCATACTCAAGGAGATTCTRTGTCAAGTMAATCTTTGAGTTAATTATACAATCTTTGAGAGCTCATTCATTTCCCAAACAACAACATAGACTTAAAAAKCCTGGCAGTTCATTGAAGCAAACACTATARCTCTYCCCATACAACATCACTTTTCCTGAGCTGTTCATTTATTTTGCTTGCTAGCAACAGCTGCKCGGACAGTAATCAATCTATATACAAATTTTCACTAAACGCTAACACTAGCTACTTGAGATTTGCTTTTATCAAAATGAGTTCAAMTGCTTTTCACTCAATCAATCGTATTTTATTGAGCRTTTGTGAATTAACGTGTCTTGTAGGTTTGTATCTTTTCTAGATGTTGATATTACTAACAAGAAAAACAACMTCGATTACAAGAAATGAATGGAGGAAATTGACAATTGTTTCGAGTCCAATTCACGAATTCTCTCCATAAAAAAAAACACACATATGACTTTAATAATGCATCATTTGATAAAATGTCCAGTGCTCTCACCTTGAAAATATCAAGGAAATTAGACTTTGAGCGTTGAGAAAGAAACCCAAAGGCACAGCTGCAAACGTCAGTTCCTATGGCAACCAGTATAACCATAATGCAAGTGACTTTGCACTCACAGTAGACATCCTCCCTATCTGGGATAGTTTACATGATAGCTTCCCTTCATTTAACGCTTATATCAGCGAGTTAACCTTTCAAAAAATGYGGACTGTTTTCTGATTGGTCAGTTCTGAAGACCTACGTCACTATGTGACAATATGGCAATTAGGATATTCAAATCGACGACGATATTTTTCTTCGCATGAGCAATATACTTTCGACACAATAATGGGGCATATGGAGTAACCGACCTATTTTGGTAAGAAAATTAATCATTAAACCCATAAGTATCTTAGTCCACACAGTCACCAGTATTTGAATAATTATTTATCTTCGTTGTCCGGTTAAGTCAATGTAGTAAGTCGATCAATTTAGTGCTGTTCTAACAGGACATTTGCTAGAGTGTTATCACCGAATTTTGACATGTTAAACGTTAAGGAATGTTTAAGGCCAGTGTTCTGATCATCTAAGCCACAATGTTAGGCTGTGATTACGCATAGTTCAAGAAGAGAAAGTACTACTGATATCACACGGCTAGACTTGGACCTCGAAACAGTGCTATTTTCTCTTATCTAATGGCGACAGTTTCATTCTGATACCACTATTCACCGATTTTGTAAACACTGTTGGTGTTCGAATACAGCAAAAATAATAACTATGTATTGAATAGACTGGACGTAGAAAATTATACAAAATATAAAAGACTTTTCAACTACTGATAGAAAGCGAACTTTGAATCGTACTCTTATCGTTGTACACCAAAGGACAGGAAAGCAACATGACAAATTTGAGTCGGGTASAGACTCAATAATGAATTTAGCGTTATTTTATTTTTTAATTTGTTGTTAGTTGAATTTTCATGTTTTTCATATTCACCAATAAAYCAACCAACCAACCAATGACCAACTAAACAAATAACCAACCAACCAAACAACCAGATAACTGAACCACCAAGCAACAAACCAACCAAACAAGCAATCAATCGTTAACTATTCAATCAATGAATGCATCAACCATTCCATCAATCAATACATCCATTCAATCAATCAATATATCAGCCATTCCAGGGGCGAATCCAGCATTTTATAAGGGGGAGCTGGGGGGGTGCTTTTGTCAGTGATATATAGCTAAAAACCTAGTATAGCAGATGGAACTGATAACTTTTTGTTAGCTGCGCATTGTCCAAGGCAAGAAAATTATTTTTATTGAAACGTATCTTTGACTACACTACTCGTCAGCAGTATGCTACTCGTTTTCTCGATAAAAGCACAACAGGAGTATAAACAGCAGAAAAAAAACGATTACACTGAAAAAGATTAAGTCATCCAAAAAGGGGGGGTGCGTCCGCACCCAAAGCACCTCCTCTGGATCCGGCCATGCATTCAGTCAAGCAATCATGATCAACCATTCAAAAGTACCGGTTCGTTCCGTTTGACATTTTKTTTTGTRCTGTTGATGTGAAAAGGTTATAAGAACAGAGYCTTTACATTCGTTTTACATCTGAATTGTTGAGAATAGATTCACAAGACATGAAAAAAACCTTGATAAGAAAAGGCACGCTAGTTGTCTTGGCTGAAACAGTCTAGTAAAAGTAACTTTCTTTCATTTCTATATCTAGTAAAAGTTAGGTATGATCAATCATGTTGGGTTCTCAAAAGCAAAGGTTACATGCGTAAACTTAGGTAAGTTATGTCGGTGTCATTTGTCTTTGGACAAAACAGATCRAATAAGAAAAAACACACAGCAAACATCACGACAATTAAGAAACGAGAATGGTGAATCCTGGTGAGGCGGGGTTTAGTGTGAAGATTATGTGAATTGGCATCTCATTTTCAGCTTGAACACGAATAAAACCACAAACTTGGCCGAGTTCAATATATTTTTGAGTAGACGATGATTTTCGAAGAGGCTCAACAAAGATCATAGAGTAAAATAAAAGTAGACTTTGCGAGAAAGGGGYTGAGAAAGATATACTGGACGGTGTAGAGCTCACTCACCTTTTTCTCTGTTTCTTTGGCTATTCTACTGTATGTTTTTCAAACTTCCCTGAACGGAAATGTATGCAAATAATACTGAATGAGGAAAGCAAACAAAAAGGGAATGAAGAGAGAATTTTTTTATTAAATCTCGCACCTGAATAAGCTTGAAAACCAGTTATTTTGTAACTATTTGTTCATTCATGCGATGTAGTCATGCACAGTATTCAGTCACAATAAGACTAAACTCCTATACTAGGTAAAGGTCTTTCAAAAACGAATTGACTATTCGTAAGCAAACAATGAAAACATAGGCAGCTATCTGGCTGTTAATTTGCCGCTCGGTTCAACACTGATCCATGAGGGTTCAATAGATCTGATCAACATTCAGTGTCTTCAAATAATTAAGTCGAAGTTGTTTCTCCAAATATCTCATCACTCTGTCGGATAACTAGGGATACTCAGAAGGCATTCGGTTCCCAAGGTGACGTGCCATACCTCACCCCTCCMTACAAGCAGCCACGGATTCTTTTTTATTCGGAATCGTGTTATTATGCTGATTAGATCTTCAAACTCTAATTCTACGTGTTATCAATAAATATTACCGATCGTTCAGAAAAAATTCATCAAGTTTGTTCTTACCCTTTCTTCTCGATCTGTCACTTGGTTATTATATTCCTGTTTTTTTAAGATTTCAAAAGATGTGTAAATTTGTCCAACGAAAGTCAAGTTTTCATATCCTGACAGCAAGCTTGATCAGTTTAGATGTTAAAAAGCGGAAATCAGTAGTTGACGCGAGTTTAAGAGCAGACAGTATGCTAACAATACAACATCTTGTCAACTTTAGTCTCCTAATAATCGTGAAATCGGTTTTTAGAATGACAGGTTTTGGTAAGAGTCCATCCGAGCATCTTTGCTTTCGCCTGTTTTCTCAATGAAAATGGTGGAAATACGTGCTGTGTGAAATACAAGAACAAAAATCTTCAGACTTGTATTTTGAAATAAAGCTATTCTCGGGGAGATAAGACTWGACTGTTAATCGAGGTAAGCTGTCTCTTTGTAATAAGAAAATAACCACGGTCTTGACTTGAATCCACAAAACCTGCTGTTCTCAGCGGAGTTTTTTGTATTGTTCATTTAAATAACTGCTGCTAACTGCTCCCAGTCGGCCTAACGTGTGTTTTAATCTATTTTAATACTATAAAGCTTTCCTGAAAATAGCATTTTTTGGACTTCCTATTCAATTAAATCAGCGGAAAAGTGTCGACGATTGCTTCATTTGCGACTTACAAAGGTTTTTGATTCTAAGATATATGCCATTGCCATGACTACCATGTAAGGGAGATCACCATATTGCCTATGATATTTGACAGTTGGTCCTTCATTAGAGTGTTGTTTTTGAACTGTGGTGTTTGAACGATGTTTTTAACTTTACAAAAGGAAATGGTTTGAAAGATGTTGAGACCATTGGATTGACATGTACTGTGTGGATCTAGAATGTTTCAAAATGTTTAGTGGAACTAAGAAGCTTTCAAAATGCCATCCATTAAGATGAAGGAGAAGAGATAGCTATATCAACAGTGCTATTATGCACATATTTGACATATTTATTTCAGAACAATTTTTAAGAAAACGAGGATGGTTTTCTAGAAGCGTGCAGTCGCGTCGGTGTCTGCTGAAAAAGGCGCGAAAACCGATATTGGTGGGCTTATTTACTAAAATATTATTGTCACTTTTCTACTAATATAATTTACTTCTTTGTTTCATGGTATTTTGGTGAATATATATTTTCCTGAGAGAAGCCATTCGATATTAGTTTATTCATCTAACTGCGATAAGAAGAACTGAAGCAAATCCAAGACGAACATCATTTTTATTGCTCTTTTAGTGACAGGTTTGATTTATGTGTCTTGAATCGTCTTTTGAAGAAGTCCGACCGATGAAGATCATTCGGCACCCTTAAAACAAAAATATAAAACTACGATTCTTGCGCGATGATTGGGCGAATTCAGTCCGTTAATTAAGACAATCATTTCGGTTGACATGAACTGATTTGATGTCGACGAATATTCTGGGATGAAAAACACGGCCGCAGAACAAGATGATCAGTATGAAGAATGAAGAATAATATTGTTTTTAGGAATTCCTTTCAATCCGCACACAATAACAACCAAGCAGTGAAATTCAGTTAAGTGCTAGAAATCAGGTARAGCGACTTTATCATTAACGTTCAACACGTTTTCCTATGCTTCGTTTTATTTAGAATATAGTTTTGAATTAGATGAAAGGGTGAAAATATAAATGAATTATATCTTCCAATCGCATCATGTTTTTAACATTTCTAATGACAGTAAGAAATAATTTCTGTGCACGAAATCTTGTTTAATATTATTTTTCTTGTTTTGACTTCTAAAGTTTGATTTACATTAATATTCTTGCCTTGTATTTGAGAAAGGGTTGACATGACTTCTATAAACTTGGATCAGCTTTCAACGTGAAAAGCGCACTTACTAAATGTATTTTTTTTACCCGAGTTTAATCAATGCCCGATGGGAAAAACAACATTCGAGTTCAGTTGATAAAAAATTGTTGATGAATGCTTTTAGGAATTTCACATGAATTTCATATGCTAAAATTGTTTCAGGTTACAGAATCCTTGGGCTTGCTTTTGATAATAACTGAGTACAGATGCGTATATTTTCTGTCAAGAAGCTCYTCATATATAATCCTACCGCTTTAAACTTGATCGTCAAGAAACTCGACTGCATGATTGGTATGTGTTCTGAGAAGATGAGTGTTATRAATTGTACAAAAAATATAATACTTGTAATTCTAAGTTGATAGTAAAACGAATGCAGTTATTTGTGAGATATTCTTCGCTTCAAGGTACATGGCAGGAAGTAGATGTTYATTGTGGAAACCGAGGAAGGAGTTGAATTCTAAGAAAACACTGCACCAGCAAAAGGGTTTACCGATTAATAACTGATTAAGCTTTGCACGCAGGAAAGAATTAAATCAAGGATATCATTTCATGTTTTACGCTTTYAAAATATTATTACAGAAAACACTTTTGAGATTACGAGGTTAAATATCTTTGGTGAAAACGGTTTGTGTTATTGCGTGTCAGGTGTCAGACGTCCACAGAGCCATCTTGTATTAATAATGACTGGGTTTTTAAATACATTTCGTTTACACGTTTATAATTKTATCACTTTTCAGGGTGATTTTTTTCAATTCTGAAAATGACATAAATAAACATTTATTTAATTTTGTCCCAATGACAAAATTATGTTTATAATTGATATTTCAATCAATCAAAGGAAGTAACGAAATGCAGTTTTGATTTCGAATGGTTTTAAGCAAGCCGTTCAGTCTGATMTAGGGGAATTATGACTTTTCCATAGTCTTCTACTTGGCTTAAAGCGGCATTGTGCGAGTATAAATAGTGATTTTATCGGATATTGTTGGATCTTGTCTAACGCATTYCTTAATCTAGAATTGAATTTGTAATTCAAAAACTAAACAAAAAAGCGATTTCCTCATCCTGTGGCATGGATAAAAACGAATTTCTTTTTTTTTCTCGGAAATATATGACTTTTGAAGCATTATCCTCATAAAAATCGACATTCATCATTGACCAGTGACAAACGTAGGACCATATAAACTGATGTAAATTGTTATGTTGTATTATTCTAAAAATACCTTTGTTGGCAAAATACTGTTACTTAAGGCCTGTAAAAAGAAGTATAAATAGTCCATTCYTCAAACGCATACCAGTCGTTGTAGTTTTTTTACACGGTTGTCATGATGTCATACCATGTGTAGTTAGCAGCCAATGAGGTGGTGTCCAGGGCTCGCAGGTGGATAGTTAAATGCTATTAGTGTTTCATTTAGCCGTCTTGACGGATACCCTTATTTATTGCATTTTAGAATCGATGTATAAAAYAACGGGATTACTTTGACCTATAGTGCTGTCCACGGTGAGTTAATACGAATAATATGATTATAGTAGATTCGTTATCATTGATTATACGACTGAAAGACATCCCATAAACCGATTTAATTTGGTACCATGCACATCCTTGGAATATACTTAAACATTCATGCGCAAAAAAAAAATATATAAAAATATATGGAAAACTCACGGATAACTTACTTTGAGAAATAGCACTGTTCAAGAAAAACCGAGCCGACTTTCTCAACGACATTGGCTGGCATCAGTAGTTGCATTTTGAAACGGTTTGGATTCAGACCAAAGTGATATTTTTGACCACATGTCACGGTCATTGCCAGTCCAATATATTTGCATATCGACATGGTTTTGAATGAACTCTGCATAGATAAAGTGTTTTTGTCATGATGGAAGAGAAAGATACAATCTCACTCACTAGTCTCCACTTACTAAATGACGTCTTTGTTTTTTTTTGCAGAAGAAAGTCGCTGTTCTTCAGTTATTACTATYAATCTCACCGGGAAACTGCACAAGTGCTGTGAGGAATACCTGTAAAGGATTGTGGTTAGACTAAAAGATAACAAACGAAACCGAAAAAAGGACAAACATTGTTTGTACAGTCTGTCGACATCTGTTATTAGACTACTGGTTTCGATTAGGATAGTCTGCTGACCTAAAAGAACCTGAGCACGAATCGACACACTGACATGATCTGGATTTATCTCATATGTTTTCTTTCTTTGTATGATTGCTATTGTGCTAACAATGTTTCCACAAGTAACAATGATATTAAAATAGGATTGTTAATACCCTTCAAGTACGCTCGAAGTCTAGGGAATTACTATTTCCGTGGTCAGTACTATGCATCGGCCATGAGTATTGCTGTGGATGATATCAATAGAAGACCAGATCTTCTGCCTGGCAGAAATATCTCTTTTATATGGAATGATACCGAATGCGATGAGCTGAAAACTCTCCGCGCACTTGCCTACCAAATAAACCATGGAGTCCAAGCTTTCATTGGTCCCGGATGTAGCTGTGCCACAGCTGCTCGAAGTGCTGCAGCTTTTAACTTATCGATGATATCGTATGTAAGTAGTATCAACAAACGCGCTGACTTGTGCTGCTATCTTTACTTGAGCATACAAAACTCTTTAGGCAGAATTTAGCAACGCCTGCATGGTGTCCTTGTTGATACTTTGTAGATTTGTCAGCAATTGCCACACTACACTCTAGTAAATGCGAATGCTTTTAAGAGCTCTTACATTATCAAACATCACTTTATGAATCGCATAATTGATTTTCACACTTAACCACCAACTTTATAGAGGAAACAAGCCGTAGGATCTGACCAAAAAAATAATCCTATTTTCAATCCAAAGAATGRATTAATTCGCACGCTAAACAGGTAAACATTCCTTTTWMCTGGAATAATACCTTTTGAAGAAGCAAAGTTATCGCTTGCGTCTATTGGGAACATGAAGTCGATTGATGATTTAATTTKAAAAAAAGTGTTATTTTAATCTAGTATTACTTGCTCTTGGATAAAATTAAAGCAATTTATTCCATTTTGTTTTCAGATGTGCAGTAGTCCAGAAGTATCAGACAAAAAACTATACCCAACCTTCGCTCGGACTTTCGCTATCGACACTAAACTCACCCCCAGTCTTCTGTCATTATTGAATTATTTTAAGTGGAAACGAGTTGCTATTATCTACGAGAATGTGACAAAATGGATTGAGATGAAAGACACTATCGTAAAACGACTCGAGGAGAAGCAAATCACAATCGCACTGCAGGAAATGATGAGTCCATCGGCAGTCTTCAGGCCACAAAACCATTCGACCATGTACAGAAACATCYTGAAGAAAATCAAATCTGAAGCCCGAAGTAAGTTTTTTTCTTTAGTTTTCACAATGATACCTGAAAGTCTTGTTAACAGAAGGATCTCTTTCCTTGCAGTTGTGATATTTGTAACAGAATTCACTTTAGCTCGTGAAGGAATGCTGTACGCGTTGGATCATGGGATGATAAATGGAGACTATGTATTTATAATGCTGGAGTTGGATCAGAACCAGGTTTCTTTGTACTCAAAGCAGCCATTTAAATGGTTATTCAGTAGCTATCCCAGCACTTTGAACCGTTTCCATCACTTAAGAGACGCATTCGCTGCAGTTTTTGTTCTTGCAGTTAAAAGTACCTCGAAAACCAGTTACAGCAAGTTTCAGGACGAATTGAGAGAACGTGCTCCCCAATATCCCTTCTTCAGCAAAGTGTACGAGGGAAACTTATTCAGAAACAACAAGAATTTTCCCGCCAAAAAGACTACGGTAATATCACGTGACACTAAATCAAGATGATAATCGTTAAATATCGGCAATGATTTGTTAATGTTGATTGCTTCTTTCCCCTCCCTCTTTCCCAGCCCCCGATATACGGCGCTTACCTCTATGATGCTGTCTACCAGTTCGCAATTGCACTCAATAAATCATTGCAAAAGGAAAAGAATCCTACAGGAGAGGCTATCAACAAAAATCTACGAGGAGTGCATTATGATAGTACGTATAAATAGTGTAATATGGTATTGTTATTATTTCTGGACGCAATGTATAATGGGAGTATTTTCCTAGGTATCCTTGGATACAAGATTCACTTTGACAACAGAGGAAATGCTGAGTTTAACCTAACGCTTTTGGATCTTCAGGGAAAACGTAAGATTATCTAATCTATACATTTATGCTGGTGATTATTGTTTTACGCCATCAACTATACCTCATTGTGAGTCTCTAGACTGTAACAACTGCCTTTAGTTATGTTTTAACTRATGATGACATTTCCAAGATTTATCGTGAATATTGGTCATTACTGCGATCTTTTATCATGACAGTCATTTATCACAACGTYTTGCGTGTTCCTAAGCGTCTCGACGGAAAATAAACACTTATAGGTGTATCAGTGCTATAGCGTGACTTTTCTTAATCAGAGTGATACATGGTCCATGTACTTATATCTAACTTATGTGATAAAGCAATGATTCATCTCATAGTTAATATTAACTATGTTCATCTTTAACAGCAAATTCCAAGTTTCCAGAGTTTGTTCCAGTGGGTGATTTCCATATCACCTATGGCAACGAGTCCACCGCTGGCCAGCAGGTATTTTCGCTCAGAACTGACACAAGAATCATATGGCCCAATGGCAAAGGTCCTCCCAAAGACTCGCCCGAGTGTGGATTTCATGGTGAATTGTGTCCATCTACTAAAACAGAYGGTACGTCTAATGTTTAGTCCGTAGGGCGGATTTGTTGTTTGCGGTTCTCTTAAAAGTTATCCGGCTTGTCTCTAATTTTTCTGATTTGTGAACTTTCAGATGTCAAAATGAAGATAATAGCYGGAGTGTCGGGTGCTTTGGCTTTACTGTCGCTGTTATTACTGCTTAACATATACAGGTGCATAGTTTCTATAATAACATTTAAATGTCATTACGGTTTTCATCACAAAATGACTTATTATCATTCTATTGAAGGCAATATCGCCTGGAGAGAGAGCTCAAAAGTCTGCTGTGGAAGATCGACTTTAATGAGCTATGCTTTGAGAAGAAAAGCCGGAACTCTGCTTGCTCGCTGGCAAGTTGCTTTGGCTTGGGAATGGTTAACAGCACGGTAAGATGATTCGGGTTTTATTTGAACTGGCGATCAATAGACTAARTGAATGACGGATGGATGGATACCTATGATTGTTTTATGTTCAGAGAGACAATCACGTGCTTGAACCATTACTGAACGATGACGACAACGAGGAATGCTATAAGTACACAAGCATCGCTGTGTATAAGGTACATTTCTTTGAATCAACATTCAATTTATAGTCATTTTATGATGATATTAATTTTTGTTGGAARTATTTAAAACGGCTTATGTGATTTCTAGGGTAACTTAGTGGCCGTTAAGAAACTTGCCAAAAAAAGTGTCGACTTGACGAGGACCGTCCTCATGGAACTAAAACAGGTACTCGATAATGATAAAACAATGACGGCAAATGAAAATGTATATTATCAAAGCTAAACATAACGCCGAGACCACAGTAAGAAGTGCGTGCGAGCGTGTATTGAGGAAGTGACAAAAAATTGTGCTACAATATTTACTAATCATTGATCATCTTACTTTCAGATGCGTGATTTACGACATGATAATATTATCCAGTTTATTGGTGCATGTGTAGATGCACCTAATATCTGTATTGTAACACAGTATTGCCCCAAAGGAAGCTTGCAGGTAACTAACCCCCTGCAACCTAACCCTGGTTTTCCATTTTTTGTTTGCAAATTTACACAGGAATCTCAATAKGGAGTATCTATATACTTTGGCAAATATATTTCAACCATTCAGCTTTTTACATAAATGTATTTTTTCTTGTAGGATATTTTAATGAATAAAGATGTCAAGCTAGATCACATGTTTATCGCTTCCTTAGTGTCAGACATCGTTCGTGTAAGTTCAATATTAAGCAGAAGAAGGAATTCTAATTAAAAGAGTCATATGAGARTTTATTGTTGTTTACAGGGAATGGTGTTCCTACAAAGCGTCGACATTAAGTCACACGGTAACCTCAAGTCTTCTAATTGTTTGGTGGACAGTCGATGGGTTCTCAAAATCTCCGACTTTGGTTTGCCGACATTTAGAGCCAAACAAACGAAAACCTTTCCGTCAGAGGATCTTTACTACAAGGGTTAGTTGTTTCACACTTTACCCTCTTATCATTTTCTATCATGAATCAAGACTTCTTTCGACTTCTCATTTTACATCACTAGCTTAGTATATTTAGAATAGTTTATATCGACCCTTATAGATCTGCTGTGCGTTGCACCAGAAATTCTTCGACTTCCCAACCGACCTGCCCGAGGAACACAAAAGGGTGATGTATACAGCTTTGCGATAATACTATCAGAGTTCCACACCAGAGACGAACCGTTCAGTGCTAACTACATGGATACTAAAGGTGACGATTAACAAAGCTTGTGTATACATGCAAACGGTGCTTGATATTAAAGGTTGACTCTTGTTTTAGAAATTGTACGCCGTGTACAAAATACAGAGTTTCCGCCATTCCGACCAACTGTTCCTGTTCTGATAGCCGGGGTTGAGGAATTGCGTGAGTTGATGAAGCAATGTTGGCAGGAAGAACCTGACCTCCGACCAGATTTCACCGAGATTAGGAAAATCATGAACAAAATCCTCATTAACAATGGAATGTAAGTTGCTAGTGAGAGAACCACTATTAGTGTAACTGATATAAAGTCRTTCTGGGTCTTTAGGTTGCCTTGACACTTGAAAATCCTTTGCAGTTATTTGTACTCATCCTCTCGTAACTTGTGCGCATGCGTTAACTATATCAMATGACGGTCGGTTTGCAGGAAAACAAACATCTTTGACAACATTTGTTACATGATGGAGAAATACGCTGATAGCCTGGAGGAACTGGTCATGGAGAAAACAGGACAATTGATAGAAGAAAAGAAGAAAACTGATGCCTTATTAGAAAGAATGCTTCCAAGGTTAGTTCTTTCTGTTCATAATCATATACTTACAGTGATGGTTAGTTGCAGCCCTTTTGCTAAGTACAATATGTATGCCTATYAACATAAACCATTTCTAACTGACTATTTTATCCGTTTTATATATTTTATTTTAGACCAGTGACAGAGCAGCTGAAGCGAGGCAAAGCTGTAGAAGCAGAAAGTTTTCACGAGGTCACAATCTATTTTAGTGATATCGTTGGCTTTACAGAACTGTCTGCTGAGAGTTCACCCTTACAGGTGAGAGAAACTCAGACTGGTTCAGTAYATTGTTCAATTGCTTTTAATACTCATTCATTCTGCTAGGTTGTTAGTCTTCTCAACGATCTCTACACACTATTCGATGACATTATCCGTGAATATGACGTCTACAAGGTAAATATCTTTCTGTTAAATATAAGTATTTATTACCTTTTTATTTTAATTGAAAGAAAAAACACACATATGGTGCTGTGGCATAAGCTGCGTGAGTACAGAGAAGCATACCCCCCTCCCTCATTGTTTGATTTTCTATAGGGTAATTTGCCAACGATACTGCGCGCTCTTCCTACGCCCTTTCCTATCACTTTAATATGATATGCCATTTTCCAGTGCTTGGTTGCTTCTATGGAAGCATTACAACGGTGTACCTTTCTTTGTTGTCGTTTGAGTTGTCAATCATTCTGAAACCGACTATGTACCATGGGATACCAAGTTTTTCTGAAAAAAGTGTTCAGTGCTCCCTTAAAGAAATAGGCTTCTCTTGCAAGCTTGTTCCAATGCGGTCCTCTGGTTGTATTTATACTCTAGTGCGCTCCTTCTGCCCGGCAGGTGGAGACGATTGGCGATGCATATATGGTGGTCAGCGGCCTTCCAATACGAAATGGTTCTAGGCACGCAGGGGAGATTGGCAAGATGGCTCTTCATTTGATTGAGGCAGTCAAGACTGAGTTTATCATACGATACAAGCCAAACCATAAACTAAAACTTCGTGTTGGAATACATAGTGGTATGTATAGAAGACCAACAGCTAGATCATCAGGGAATTTGTAGCTAAAAGGCTGATTTATTGTTCTACAGGTCCTGTTGTGGCTGGAGTTGTTGGTAACACTATGCCTCGGTATTGTCTATTTGGTGATACCGTCAACACTGCATCGAGGATGGAATCACATGGCGAGGGTATGACTTGTGAACTCGTCCTGTCTTAACTTATGTTCCATTTAGACTGTTTGACTACAACTAACCAAAAGAAAGAACAAATCAAACATTAGACTTGGTAGCTATTTCGTCTGAGCACACCGTGATTGTATACATGTCTATTAACTCTATGTTATCTTCCACTTTAACACTCATTTCAGCWTACAGACATCTATAGAAAATAAAGCATTATGAAAAGACAGAAACAGCGCCGTGCAAACTTACTCAAATTGCGCTTCTTGTCCTTTCTGTGTTTGTGATCAAGGTTTTCTTGTTTCAGCTCTACGAGTCCACATTAGTGAAGACACAAAAGGAATATTAGACCARTTAGGTGGTTTCATAGTAGAACCCAGGGGTGAAACGTATATTAAGGTATAGTACTACAAGGTCATGTGACCATTGACGGTTTTGAAACTTAGTTCTCTATCAATTTACCAACGTTTCCTTCCAGGGTAAAGGAAATCAGACAACGTATTGGTTGGTTGACGTCACTGATAAAAAACCATTCACAAGAAAGCGTCCAAAAGCAAACATGAATAGCATTGATTCTCCATTACTAAGGTAACTAGTCGGCACCAACTGACTTGACTTGCAGCATTTATTAATAATCACTTTTCTTTTAGTTTACCAGGATTCGCCAAACCATCGTTAGCTGCAAGTTCCAATACATCGTTGAATATGAAGCGTTCACCATCATTTCGTAAGAATTTTAAGAATGCCGCGGGTTCACCGATTATGAGAAGATGGCATCGATTTGAAAACGACGAAGACAAAGAACAAGGAACTCGACTGTGGACAGAAAAAGACGATAATAGATACAGCGTGGTATGATTTTGACCTAGAGCATCACCTTATTGAATGCATCRCAAATAATGCTCATCTACAAGTCACGTGACTATGGTGATATACATTGGGGAGTAGATGTAATCAACGGTGCTGTGTCCGTAGACACCCAATTCATTACCACTAGCAATAACAACTTATAAAGAGCAATGTATACATTATTTTGCTTTGACGGAACCCATGCAYATACCAACGCAGAGCTGATATCAACACATGTAAATAATGAAGGCCTGCAATGGGAACTATGTCAAGGGTCTAACTTTGTCACTTGCTTGACGTTAAACTACTACTCCAGATCCATCCAACATAAAGACAACATGTTACTTATCATTAATTTATTTGCTAAAGAGAGATTTTTATTGGATAGTTTTATTGGATTTTTTTATTGGATACGACTTCTCGGCGTTCCCGATTTTGATTGGTTTGTTTGTCTAATAAATTCATCAGATACAATTGGTCAGCGGTAGATAATCTTATGTTTATGATATACAAACATTCATGAATTTAGCAAGTATAGTAGAAATATTTTAGCTATAATTTCATAGGTTGATTCAAGAGAGAGAAACAATATTACCATGTAAATACGTATAGTACTAGAAAAAAAAAACTACGAATAATAAATGTTATCCGAACAAAATTGTTATTTACCTTGACGGACTGAACTCACCTTGAGGAGAAGGCCGTATAGATAGATAGATTCAACAACTATTTCTAATTGAATGTTYTTTTTGCACAATATTTTTTTACACCTCGAAATTAAATGTTCCCATTTCTTCTTTCATTCTTCGCCCTGTACTTTTGACTCTATAGTACAACGAACTGATGTGGAACAGATCTCTCAAACATGGTTACAAGCGCATTATATTGAATATCAAAATTTGAGTTTTTTTCTGATCAGATTTAGGTAAAAAAAAAGGATTTTAGAAGTCACTTTATTCGTATTTACAGGTATGCATTATACTGGGGTTACAGTATGTATATTGATTATTTCTTCATCAGTGTATATTATGTATAAAGAACATAAACTAAGTAAGTATACATCTATCTATCTATGATTGATATACGTTTATCAGTATATGTTTGATAGAATATGACTATACCTTTGTATACACCWATTTAAAAAAAATATGAGAATTTTATATTTCGTATGTGTTAAAGATATCATAAAGTGCTTTAATGGGATGACTAACCTTTCTATGATATAACTCAAGCATTCATGAAAAGTATTCTTTATATATGTATCTATATTTATCATAATTTTCGAAAAGGGGTTAAGCTTCTCAATTCTTGGAAATTATTCACCATTTGATCTAGTATGTACTTATCGTTAGTTGTTTGGCGGCATCCACTTGTTGAAATGATAAAAATCACTTGTTTTTACCATTGCAATCCTGACACTAAGAGACATTTTTACAAGGTTCAAGTATTGATGGGAGTAAGTTCTGCCAAGATATGACCGTTGGCTGCATTTATAGGTGGTAATCCACCCTTCCTCCCTGACTTGACAATCTTGGGAAGCAGATTTTTGACAATATCCCAATGACTGTTTTTTCTTTGAACTTTTGTAGTTTCATCTTTTACTTTGGTTTCCTTGGCAACTTGTGATCTGCCACTTTTCCTTGGTTGWATGGATGAGCCAATAAGCCAATACGTTATCCATGTACCCTTTCCCTGAGACATCAATAAACCTACGTGTTAAATATATCACGGCTTATTCATAATCACTATAGTATTCCTACCTTAAGGAAAACTTCTCCTCTTTCTTCAATGTAATATCCACCAAGATTGTCGAGAAGATGTTTTGTTGCAGGACTGATATGTATCTTCAATGCTAATGGAGAAGGTTAGAGTTGATATTAAAATGCTCAGAAATGATATAGATTGACTGGTTTTACCTTCCCCATTTGATTCCATCCTTGACGCAGTATTAACTGTATCTCCAAACAAACAATATCTGGGCATTTTGATTCCTACTACGCCTGCGCAGGCCGAACCTGTAAACGAAGTATAAATCAAGTTAACATTGATAAGATATATTATATCATTTTTTTTTTTTTATATGATATATTATATCATATGCATCTGATGAAAATGCATAGCCCACCCAAATGGCGAAAAATGACATATTTTTGATGAAAATGCATGGGCTATAGCCCACCAAAATGGCCAAAAATGAC